AATATATGTATTATCATTTCCAGATTAAATACGTCCATAGGGTAAATAATTTTGTCCATATGTCTTACTAATTGTGATTAATTGGGTTTTATACAGACATATTCCAAACACTGAATACTATAATAATTTTTTATGCAGTATTAGTAAAAAAAAATTATTTGAATTAAAATCATTTCAGTTTAAATATACTTCAAGTTCTTATCTTATCAAAAATTATGTTTTCTTAAAAGGTGACGTAAAGATTTTTATGGGAGGATATTAAAGAAAATGTATAAGTTTAAGAAGATACATTTCCTTAGCTGCTACATTTAATAAAATTTAATTTATTATGATTATTTTTATTTAAAAGACCATTTGGAACATTTTGAATGATGTGAATGAAATTGAATAGAATGAATTTGTGAAATGAAATTGTTTTGACCATGAAATTGTTTTGCACATTTCTATGCTTATCATAGCCATCTAGTTAGACGTGGGTTACGTCTTCTTCTTAGGCCAGTGTTCGATTCCTGGCGCAAAAATCTGAGTTTCAGATCAGACTACACTATCATAACGTAGTAGATAGTCGTTAAAGTAATGTTTCTCAAGGTTTGATATGTGGAAAAAGAATAAGGCAGTAAGGGAGCGCGATGCAAAGGTCGGGTGGCTAGCACCATTAAAACTTTTTCTATTTCAATTTTGGTAGTGCAGAGTGTGTATATACCTATATTTCTTTCAGTTCATAATCAAGAAAGAATTTTAAACTGTCATTAGTAAAGAATCGAAATAGTTCTAGTACAGCGTTAATAACAGAACAAAACGTGATATTACATGTACCTAGAATTGAATGATTAATTTTAAATTGAATCGAAAAGGAAAGAAAAATAAACTTTCCACATTTGCTTAAATCAATATTGATTTATTAGTTAATAGTTTTCGTGACAGATGTATTAAAACATTTGCAGCTACGTTGAATAATTAAGGAAAAAAGTATTTAGATTTTTTTTTTAATATTTATCATATTTTATGTGGCATAACTAAAAATAACAAGTCCTTCCTGATGTAATTTGGATAGTTTTTATGAAAATAAATCGTTGTGAACTTTATTGTCTGTAGTTAAATTTTATTTTTCTAAACTTTCAGAATTAAATCAGTTTAAATGTTTTAAGTAAATTATTAGGTTCCTCGAAATTTTTAAGAAGTTTTTGTACATAATAAAGAAAGTTCTGAACAATAAGAAGGTTTTTCAGGCGTCATTTGATACTATTGAATTAAATTTCTTAAAAATGACACCCGTCTTAATTGTGAATCATCCCCCATAAAAGTATATTTTTTCATCTTTATTGCATGGATATATTATTTCCTATTGAATTTTGTCATATGATGCAAAATGACATTTGATTAAATCCAATTTTAATCTAGAAATTTCTTGGAAAATTTGCAAAAACTAATCAGAAAACCCTTTGAAGTTTTTAATTATCTAATATGATATTAAAATTGAACATTTTCATTAGTTAACGAACACGAGTCACTGCAAAACTTTGAAAAAAAAGTATACATTTTCCGCGCAATATAAGAAAACTACTTCCTATGCTTATATCTTGACAAATTTTTTAACGATTTTTTCTTCAAGTTTTAAAATTATAATTTGGTTATTAATTAAAAATCACGATAAGACTGCTGTTTAGTTTGACAGAACATTTAAAAAAAAGTTACAGCAAAAAAAAATTTTTTTTCATATAAAAATATCCGTATTTCCATAAGTATTAAGCTAGACCTGTGATTTTTTTCCCAATTATTTCACACAATAAAAGTGATCGTTAAAATAATCGATACATGATTATTATATTTTTTCTGACATATGACGCAGGATGTTCAAATTAATCTTTGTTTGTAAATTACATCCAGCTTCTCAAACATCTAAAAACTTTTAACTTTGTTGATTAGTATAAGAAATTGCATGACATAAATATCTCTAAAGTTATTAAATAATCCTCTCAGTACTTCGTGAGAAATTAAAATATATATATATNGCTAATACATGTTTTCATGATTATATACATATATATATTAAAATCTGAAAGTGTCTTTTCAATTATTGTTAGGTAGTGTATATTTATGATTTTCAATTCAAATTACTGTAATTAATTACAGTTCTTCGATGCATGCTGTACTTATTTATATTTTAAAGTGTCCAAACATTATTTTTAATTTAATTAGACTTCATGCGTCTTTCAAAATGTGAAATCTCAGCTCTTATAATGACTAAATAATAGAGTTCATTCTAATTAAGATCATGAATCTAGGTGGAAGTGCAGGCGTCATAATTAAGTGAAGGAATAAAATTACGTGCGTTGCTTACTTATTATATTTTGTTGCGAAACTGAACTGAGTTAAGTATTGTTTGGAAATTGTTTGTAATATGTTTTGACCTTTAAACTTTTTTCTTCCTTTATATTATCTAATATATAATATTTTTCAAATTGCATTTTAGACTTTTAAAACTTTTTTTTCACCCTAATTAATATAGAACTAAAGAAGATAAATCCGGAACAGGGTATAAAGTTAATAAGGATATTTTTTTTTTATAAATTTGATATTTTATTTATTTGAAGAGCCTTTATTTCTTGTTTCCTTTAAATCGTCTCCAATTTCTGCAAAACTTAATCAGAAATCCAATTAAAACTGAAATCATATCGAATTTGTAAGAAAGGCCACCCGACGTATTTTATCAATTTTTCAACGATTGTTATTTATGGTAACAACTCTACTGAAGGTTGATTCTTACAATAAAAAGTAACTCCCTCAACCAAAGAAAAAGGGTCGGTTGTAAAGAAATCAGGAGGTTAGTCTCCCTTAAGAGTATCAACACATGCATCGCTACGTCGGAATATCAAACTGGTTCCTGACTTCAAAATATAAAAGAAATTAAGACTGACGATTTTGTATGCCGCGTATTGAAGAAGTCATAAATTTTGGTGTTCCCGCAACTGAAGAAGAAGAAACAGGATCTACGCTTTTCCAAACGAAATGATTATTTCAAAAAGTGCCATCATCTCTAATTCATCGCTAATTAGACTGCTTCACACTAAGAATGGAAAACCTTTCTAAATAGAAATTATTTATGTTGGCTTGTTGGCATCATATATTTGAATATCCTAGGTTCAACTCACGCAAAGTTATTTGGCGTCACATCAGGTCCTGAAAACACAGCCTTTTTTAAATTAAGAGGTGATATCTGGTCAATTATCAACTCATAAGTCTGCTTCAAGACCTTAGAAATAAAATACAATAGTTTAAAATTGATTAAACTTTCTATAGAATCATTGAAGAGAATATTTTTGAATCCAAATAAAAATAATTTGCTGCCTTTTTGATAATTATGAGGAGTAACTAGAGTAGTACATCATGTTTGATAGATGCTATCAATTTTGCAAATTTTAAAGATGTTTGCATTCGTAGTTCAAGTAGGATTACACAAGCTAAATATAAATGATATGCAAGCTTAATGATATGTCCTACATCACTATAGGCCACATCCAATAATCCGTTGGAGATGATATTCTATACAATGTTCTTAAACTGTGTCGTAAACTAAAACAATATTGCAGGCAAGAAATGAGTGTATGGTACAGAAAATGATTGTATGGAAAGGCAAATCAAATAATATTATCTAGTGAGTATGTTGCACCCTGTATTTTTTGAAACAAACTTTTTTCGTTAAAAACAGCGATTGAATGTTCAAACATTGGTTCTAATTCCTCCTTCTAATGACTTTTGAAATAAAATGAGCCAATTTTTCGCCACTTTTCCTGTTCTTAAACCAATGTAAAAAAGTATGGAAAAAAACTTACATCTTAGTTCGAGCTTCACAGCATGAGAATCAAATAGAAAAACTTAATGTTATTCATAATAAAGCTGATAATAAGCTGATACATGTTTTCATGATTTCATAGTAGAGAATAATATGCCAGAAAGGTGAGTGATACTAATAAAAGATTTCTCACCTAGTCTTATTTCTGATTAAAGATAAGAAAAAAATGTCTTTTAATACAAATGATAGAGTGTCATGAAAAAAATAACCCCCAGTTTCAAAAATAGGGCCTTAAAAATTCAAGTTTGATATGATTGTGATAATATTTCCTCAAATTGATCGTATGATGACAATCTAGATTATTAGCAAAATTCTTTTATTCTTATATGTACATTGCTGGCATTTGTATAAAAGACATATTGTAATAAAACATTCCTTTTCCTGAGTTAAGTGTACATTAAAACAAAATAGCTTTTTAACTAAATAAATTGCTCTTATAAGACAGTGGTTAAAACATTCAATTGTGAATTTTGTCTTCCTGTAGACCATTTCTTTTAAAATGATCCATCATTTTCCACACACCAAAATACTGAATGAAAATTTATTTAATCTTTCAAATCTTTTTTCCACTTTGTATTTTCAGTATTTACGCCGTATTTTTATTTTCATTAGTAAAACAATAGCAGGAATTGATGAATTTTAAATATTTATGTAAATTTTTCATCAACTATTTCATAATATTATATGAATAAAATAATTTTTTTTAATCCTTATAATAAATTACATTAAAATAATCGAATTTAAGTACTTAGGCTCTAAATAAGCAACGTTTACTATGATATCATTGGCATATGAAATTATCCTTTAAGTTTCATCAAATCATTTAAACTTAACTATTTTTTTCTCGGTACGCTTGGCTTCTTGGCTCTCTCTTTTTAGACATGTATCCAAATAACATATTTATCATTATTACGCTTAGGAAAAGTGTTTAAAAATTTATATTAAATTTTCGATTTAATTATTTCATTAATTCACTAGTGCCTTGCAGACTGTTCCTGTAGATTACTTCCCTTTAAAAAGTCCATTATTTTCCGCAAAAAATAATAGTAAATTGTCGAAAAAAAGAAGACTGAATGATAAGGTTAAAAAAATTAATTTTCTGTAATCAATGTTTGGGATTATATATAAACATCTCATCTCTACACAGGAGTAACCACCAGAGATAGAATTAATGAGGACATGTTCTTCCACTAACCTACAGCTTCTTGCATGAAGTTAATGTAAGTCTTCTTTATTTCCTTAGATTCAATTCTTTGGTTTGTTACAGTAATTAAGTTATTCTTAATACTAACTAAATTTACCCATCTAATGAGCCGTTTGCTTTATGAAAAATAAGTTTCATTCAAAAATATCTAAATATTTTAAATTGATTTTGTTATTCGTCAAACAATTATAGGTTTCATAATTCAGCCACTAATAATTATATTTTTCGTTTAACCGATTAAGCAACACGACCGAAATGCAGTTTTTAACACCTAAATTTTAATCGTAACTTTTAAGTCCTTCTTAACACTGAATTTAGCCAGATATTGAGTGGTTTGCTTTGGAAAACAAATAAGTTACAATTGAAAATTATTCGAACATTTTAATTTGATTTTATTATCCATCAAATAATTGTAGGTTTTATGATTCAGCAACACAGTATCAAGTTTTTCAATTAAATGAAGGAGTAACACGTTCCAAATACATTTTCTTTAACATCTACACTTGAGAACACACTTGTCTTGAACACAATTTTTTAGAAGAATTATAGTTTAGTATTGAGCAGATTCATAAATGACGTCATTCCGACTAAATAAATGAAAAACTACCTTTCGCTACTATAATTGAACTATTTTCTACACCGAAATAATATTAACTTTCATTTTTTTTTCATTATATATAAGAG